GCAGGGGGGTTGGAGATTCATGATCCTTGAGGTCCCTTCCAACCCTGGCAATTCTGTGATTCTGTGAAAGGAATGCCATCCCGTGGGACCTGGGCAAGCTTGAAAACAGTGTAAACCTAATGAGGTTCAACAAGGCTGAGTGCAGGGCGCTGCACTTGGGTTGAGGCAATGCCAGATATGAGTACAGATGGGAGAAGAACTTGAGAGCAGCCCTGCAGGGAAGGACTTGGGGGTCCTGATGGACAAAGAGCTGGACACGAGCAGCAGTGTGCGCTTGCAGCCCGGAAGGCCAGCAGCACCCTGGGCTGCACCCACAGAGGGCTGGCAGCGGGCAGGGAGGGGATTGTCCCCCTCTGCTCTGCCCTCGTGAGGCCCCATCTGGAGAACTGCGTCCAGGCCTGGGGCCCCAGCACAGGAAAGACGTGGGGCTGTTGGAGCGGGGCCAGAGGAGGCCACGAGGAACGCAGAGGGCTGCAGCACCTCTGCTGCAAAGACAGGCTGAGGAGCTGGGGGTGCTCAGACTGGAGGAGAGAAAGCTGCGGGGAGACCTCATTGCAGCCTTCCAGTTCTTAGAGGGAGCTTATAAATAGGAGAGAAATTAACTCAATACATGGGTAGATAGTGACAGGACAAGGAGGAATGGTTTTAAACTAAAGGAGGGGAGATTTACATTAAATATCAGGGAAGCTTTTCGCTGAGAGGATGGTGAGGTCCTGGAACTGCTGCCCAGAGAGCTGTGGGTATCCTAACTCTGGAGGTGCCCAAGGCCATGGATGGGGCCCTGGGCAGCCTGACCTAGTGTTTGGTCTAGTGGTTGGTAACCCTGTCTGCAGCTGGGGGTTTGGAACTCGACGATCTTTGAGGTCCCTTCCAACCCAAGCCATTCTATGGGTCTATGGCTTCCCTTTAATTTAGCCCAAGAGAATCTCAAAATCTCAACAATCCGGATCTGATCGGGTTGTGATAGTAAGGCATGAGCATTACCAAACTGAGGCAGCCTCATGCCTCTGCATCATACATACTTCTCAAGGCAGGCTCATCCTGAGTTGCCACAATACCAAAACAGCTATTTGGAGTAAAAGACAACAAACTGCCCAACTGTAAAGAAACATGAGAAAAGAACTATGACTGCCAACAGTACAGCTCTAAATATGGCTACGATCTGAAGCTTCTTTATTTGCCTCTTTAGATTGTATGTTATCTATAGAAATTAAAGCTCTCCCAAATCCATAATTAGTAATACATCGTCAATATTCAGGAAAAAAATGCATTGCTATTATTGATCAACTCCCCATTGAAAAGACTATAAAATGGGAGGATTATTTCCTTCCACTTGAGGCTTTTCAGTAATACCTTGTGAGAAAACAAAGGAATGTAAGATTTTCTTATGCAAAATTCGGTACAACATAAGGTGAGCAGTTGAAAAGAGCGCCCTAATTCACAGATCAAAGCGCGAAGCTTTTGTTCTAAGCAAGAAAAATACTAAGAGGTTCAGAGAGCTGTTTGAAAAAAAAAAAAAAAAAAATAGAGAGAGAAACATAAAAGAAAGAAAAAAGAAACTCAATTTTCCTGTACTTACACTGACTTTGAGAGGAGCAGAAGTCAAAATGGTAGGACAGCGTTTCTTCAGTTACCTGAAATGTTCTGCCATCCTTCCATTCCTGGGTCGCGTAGCCTTCTACGTGGCCAAGATAGAATGCTCCTTGGATGTGGGAGCCATCAGGACAGTAGCAAATGCCCTTTCCATGGCGATGGCTCACGTAGAACTGCCCCACATATCTCTGTAATTCAGAACAGAGGAAAAAGGCATGAATGATTTAACCGAGAGGACAGAAATAAGCAGTTACTCAGCTCTTACTGGACTAACAAGGAGCAGTAAACTGGTACATGGAGAGATTTCAAGATCTCAACACATCTCAAACCCATTTTATTCACAAGCTTCAAAATTCAGGCACAACTTTCCAGAATTGCCCCAGCCAGCAGCTGTTCCACCAAGCAGCATGCTGTACTGAGTCATCACAATACGACTTTTAAAAAAGCACAGATGATTGCTGCTCATCTGCACCTCCAACCCTGCATGAAGTCCTCAGCTGCCAGCTGCAGGTGAAGCCGCTAGAGATTAAACCTTTAGACACCACGCGCTTTATAATGAATATAACTGCTACTCCAAAACTAGCGCTTGCTCCTCATTAGCAAGCAGTGATGAAATTTCACATCACTAGCGAACAGTAATCATAGAACGAAAGGGACCAACTGCTGTCATCGGCAGCTCCGGCACCTCCCGCAGCCCGGCAGTACCTCGCAGTGCCGCCGCCGCTCCTCGGCCGCGGGCGGACCGTCCGCCATGGCGCCCCGCTGCGGCACGGCGCGTTGCCATGGGGACCGGCGGGGGGTCCGGAACGGGGCCGGCCCCTCAGCCTCGGAGCGGGGCCGGGCCGGGCCGCGGGGCGGTCCTGCGGGAAGCCGTGCGGGGAACGCGGCGCAGAGGGAGGAGGCGGGGCGGAACCGGCACGGCTTCACCGAGGGCGGGGCGTCTGTGTGTGATGGCACAAACGGAAATGGCTTCGAAATAAAGGAGGGGAGATTTAGATCAGATATAAGGAAAAAGTCTTGTGCAGTGAGGTACTGCACAGGTTGCACAGAGAGGCGGTGATGCCCCATCCCTGCAGACAGGCTGCTGGGGCTGTGAGCACTGCTGGAGCCGTGGGTGTCACTGGACGTGCACTGCAAGGAGTGGGGCCTGATGGCTGTAAGGTACCGAAGGACAGCGGCAGCTGGAATAGCAGCATGTGTCTCACACAGCCTGTCCATCTTCCTCAGCCTGCTGTATGAGGTCCTTTGGGCTGGACCAGCTGGTGTGCAGGAGGTTGTAGGTCCGGGCCAAGGTAGGGGGCGGTCGGGAGACCTTTGGGTGCGCCTTGGGGGAACGTGCTAGTGTGGTGTGAGTGCAGCAACACAAGTTGGCATGGGCAGGGACCTTGGTGCAGCAACCAGGCAGGAGAGTCTGGGGCCAGGGCTGCTGCAGGAGGCGGCCAGGGCCTTCCCATTTCTGAACACAGCAGCTTAGGCTTGTTTTGTTCATATTTCATCTTCTTCTTTTGAGTTATTCTGAGTTATAGTGACTTGTGTGACACATTTTACATTTGTAATCCATTCACTGCATTCAGAAACCAGAGAGCTGTTCACACACTTCTTCGTGTCCCAAAGAGGGATGGTATTTTAGGTGATTTTGGTGATTTTAGGCATTGTGAGTCTAAGCAGAGACTTAAAGGCAAGAGTGGGAAAAATTGGAAGTGGAGTAATTTTTTCCTCTTGATGAAAAGCAAGCGGAGAAAGAACACCCTTTGCCTCCTCTTTAATTAAACAGACCCTTTTGTGACAGTATTAGAAGGCGCACACGAGCAGCATGGGAAGTCAAGCACTCCAGATCACTGGGTTGCAAGCTTTTTGCCTGGAGAGATCACAGTGACTCAGAACATATGTCGTGTATGTCTTAAGCGATGCTACTGTTAGGATGCCATGAGCTATCTTATTTGGGAAGCCAGCTCATACATCTTTCTGTGAAAACAGTCAATCTAAAATGAATTTACAGTAAAACAAATGGAAGGTTTTCCTTAGCCTCCAATGTGCACTAAATCTGTGAAACAAGCTTTAAACAAAACTCTTAAGCTCTTTATCAGCTTTTGTATTTCCTTTGTTTTTAATGAAAAATACACACGCATGTGAAGCCAAGGGTATGAGCAGGAGAAAATTCTCTCTGTTTCCCTGCATTTTCTCCCCCTGGTAAGGAAAACTGTCTTGAGAAACTCTGCCGCTTACCTGTGCCTTTTTGGAGCCTCAGGATCTCCTGGAAGCTACGATGCACATCATGTGCAAACCAAAGGCGCAGCACAGCCCTTAGCAGTGAGGCACTCAAGCACTTGAAAACACAGTGCAGTTACAAAACTCAGAAGCAGAAAGGGAAAACCAGGTAACATCCTTTGGAAAAATTGCTTAGTTTGGGCAAATGTCCCCAGCACAGATGGTAAGATCAGTAGTGAACTAAAGAAATTATCCATTGGAAATGTAAGTGTTCATGAAAAGACAGCTGAAAACTTTGTTACTGGCACATAGTAAAGAGGTGTAAATAGCACACCCCAGGCAAGGGGAACCCAGATCTCCCCTTTTTGCTTTGGATGATACACTACCCTTGAAGGTCAGAGCACTCCATCCTAGCAATGCAAGTCTTCGAAGCTCCCCAAAGGCACCTGCCATGGGGCTGGCCTCAGGTGAGTTGCTATCTCACACTGCCTGATATTAGAGCTGACAGAGTTGCTCTTTCAGCTCCCCAGTACCAGCTGTCAGCCCTTCTGGCAGCTGTAGGAGTCTCATAGCAATGTCCTTAGCTATGGGACAGAGCTAGGATTTCACCTATGACTTCACATTAACCAGTGCTAAATCCTCTGCTGCGTAGTTTTCATGTTCCCACACACACTTTTTGGAGATCTGTTGTCAATCTGTGCCTTCTGATTTGCTAAGCTTGTTTTCTTGAGGCTTTGCAAATCAGTTCAGTTCTGGAGACCTCACTCTGGATGTTCACATCTCTGGAGTTGAAGAGATGACTGGCAGTGTTCAGAGGCAGTTCCTATTCATGCAGTGTGCTTTAAATTCCTTTCTGCATCTCCAAGGTGATACGGGGCTTTCAAGGTTGACAGGACATTTCCCAGGGCTCAAATGAGAACATAGGAAAAAAAAGAGTTCTGATGGCGTTAACAGCAGCACTGTATGATCGTCACTGGGCCAGAGGGTGAGGCAAAGCAGTTTAGGACATATTGATCACTAGGCCAATTTCAGAGACTACCCCCAGGGACCTGATCTACTTTGAACTTACATTGGCCAGTGATGCATTGGCAGTTTCTCCCTTGCTTCCAAAAGTGCCTGTGTCTCCCTCAACATATGAACCATTTGGGGATTTCGAATTGAAGAGAGAACCAAATACTTCTCTCGTCTCTCCCCTGCCTTCTCCCATTTGCTTAGTATTAAAGTAGGGTTTCATCTACATTTTGAGTTTGGGGTGTTAAAGAGGCTTCATTGTAAAATGGAGTGCTGGAGGAGAGCTTGAGGTTTTTCCTCTGATACCCTGATAGCTGTGAAAAGCTCCAAGAAGTCACTGTCTCTGCTGATGGGATGGAAGAATAAGGAGAAAAAGCTTAAATTAAACCCACTGCTAATATTCATAAACTTTAAGGGCTTTGTATCCAATGCTAATGAGACTGATTTGCTGAGAAAATCTGAGCCTCGTGTAGTGCTGCCACAAATGAGCATAACGTAGAAACAGCAAAGCAAAACTGAACACCTCACGTTTAACGCTCATTGGGAACTGGGGAAAATAAAAGCTGGGAAAAAGACATCAGCCATCCTCTTCCCACCTCACCTGTCCCAGGTGTTAACGCCAAATTAGTCCTGAATCATGTGTAAACTGAAACATCTGCCTGACAGCTTTTCGTGGGTTCATGGGAAGCTACTGATCGAAGAAGAAGCTCTGCAGACACAGACTGGGACCCCGGCAATGGGCTAGTACGGAAGTGGAGTTTACACGGGATTTTTTGGTCAGTGTAAAAGACTGAGACAACTCAGTACCAGCCAGAGCTCCTGGGGCACAGAGAAGGGGAGCAGAGAGCAGATCGCAGTTGTTGTGGTTTTGTGATTTTTGTTGTCAGTATTCCACATCAGAACATCACGTGGACCAGTGGGAGTTAACGAGTTAATGTTCTGGTTCCGTTTACTGTTGTGGACTCTTTGAGTATCCTAATGGGAGGGGAGGGGCGGCATCCCCGGAGGAACTGGCGGGCAGAGGCAGTGCGGTGGAGCTGTGAATCGGAAGCGTAGCGGCTGCCTCTCCCCGTCTGGCCCGGCTCAGCCGTCTCAGCTCGCCGCGGAGAAAGCACGTGCTTTCCCTCGCGCTATCGTGGTTTGATTCTCGTTTTTTTGATACTCTTATCTCTCTCGTTTTGTTTGATTTAGTTAGATTCAGTAAATTACCCTTCCTCCTCAGATCGTTGCCGTTGTGTTTCCTTTTGTTAAAGCTATCGGCTAGCTCTCTGCCCTTCCCCTCTCCCGGAGCGCACGTAGCCCGGGGCCGGCCGGGTCGCGGCAAAGCGTTCGTACCTTTTTTTTCCCCTCTCTTCTTCCCGGGGCCTGTGCCCCTCTGTCACGGACTTATATCTGGTGATGGGGAGGACAGCTCCCATCCTTCTCGCCCTGCTTAGTGCATCAGCCACCACCTGTAGCACCCAGGATACCTGTCCAGGTGAGTGCCACACCAGTCCTGCTGCCGGTGCCTGGGGCAAGCTGTTCTGTCTGCCCACCTGGCACAAGGGCCGTTACAAGGTTGTAGGGGAGAGGGGGGGATTTTTCCTTCTATGCACCTTTTAAATTCAGCTACAAATGGTAGGCTGGGGGTGGGTGGGTGATGAAGCCTCAGCTACGGCCTTACAAAGCTGCTGGCTCCGGTCAGAGGTCTCCTCAGCAGTGGGGTCTCCAGGAATAGGTTTCCCAATTCTAGGTTTTCCATCCCAGTGCAAGATGTCCATCCATGGATCTGCCCCAAGTTCTGCTGGATGTGGAGCTGTATGAAGGGACAATCCAGTGTGTGCTGTGTGCCTGGCACCTGGCAGCTCAGAGACACCACACAATGCAGTTTTCTCTCTATGTTCCCCAGGAAGGCAAAAGGTGTGACTTGAAACTGATCTGGTGTCATAAAATGGGACAGAACATTTACAGTCCAGATCCATCAATACCATTTACTCTTTGCCATCAATACACCACAGAACACTTCACATCTTTTGTTTTATCAAGCTATAGTACCTTTGTCATGTATGTAATGTCCCATATAACCCTTGTCTCCCATGAAGTTAGAGAGATTCCATGCCTCTCTCTTCTAATATTAACTCATACAATCACGCTGAGCGCCCATCGTCAGGTAGGACATGACTTCTGCCTGTCTTTGTCTTTCGCACTGTTTCTGAAGTCCAAATAGCTCAATTTCTTATCCCAAACATTTCAGAATCATAATAATCTCCATGATGATTGTTTTCATTTACTCAGAGGTGAAAACAGTGGGACTTGGTGAGGCAGACCAACTTGCTGTTCTTCAAGGATGCCCAGGGATCCCAGGTGAAGCTGGCCCAAAGGGAGAACCAGGTCTTTCAGGAACAAAAGGTAAGATTCCAAAGATATCAGACCACTTTTTCATTCGTAGAAAGATGTGTGGAGGGAACACCCCCTTCCTCATAGGGAAAGCGAATCACATGAGTAGAGGGAGCAGCTCCACTGCAGCAGAAGCCACAGACTGGCTCCAGGGTATGCAAAGTTCATAGGAATTCACATGTGAGCTGTAAATCAGGACTTTGACTGGCAGTATCATAGAATCACAGAGTCGTAGAGTGGCTCGAGTTGGAAGGTAACATAAAGATCATCACATTCCAACCCCCTGCTGTGGGCAGACTTGCCAACCACCAGATCAGGCTGCCCAGTACCAGTATAATATAGCTTTAGCAGAAGAATGGAGGGAAATGTGTTGTCAAATATGATCTGATGAAAAAAAAACAGCTTCCTTCCATTTGCAGAAGTTGAGGCCCAGCTGTCCCAACTTCTGTATTATCTTCCCTTTGGTCACATTGCAGTGCACACATATGAACTGTGGGTTTTTTTTGTAGGAGAAATGAGAATCAAGGGATCCCCTGGGAAAGCAGGACCACCCGGTACAAAAGGTAATCCAAAATATATTTAGCTTTAATCCATAAAATATCCAAGGGGTACATAGGATAACTGGATCTACAGAAATGAAACTCTTAAGAAACAGCTCTGAAGTAGTATAGGTCGGGCAGATTTGAGATGTGGATCTGGCATGGGATGGGTACTGGGAACTGCGTCCTTGGGTGGGACCACATCTCAGAGGAAGATATTACTCTTCTTTACAAAGTTGCTCTTATCAGACCTCTCCCCATTCTCCCATTCCTGGAGTGGAGACAGCTGGCACAGGGTGAAGCAAGGAAGGAATGAGCTGACCACCCCCAAAATGAGGAGCTGACTTATTTCACCTCTGGCTCTGCACCAGCTGGGGCAGGACGTCATGAAAGCATGTTGGACTGTGCCCCATGAAGGATTCAAAGCCATGGCCCAGTCTCTGGAAATAAACTGCTACTTCCAGCTCCCAGCACAAGGTGCCACCTAGGAACTGAGTGTGGCACACCGAACAGCTGGGTGTCATGGTTCTGTGGGGCCAGGCGGGGGGTGGGGAGGACAGGGGCCTACTGCCCCCTGTCACAGACATAAACTGATCTAGTTAACTCCGTGACACTGGGGAAGCAGTCCCTTTGCATGTTGAATATGTGCATATTTCCTAGTCAAAAGAACCAAAGACTTCAGCAGAAACCCCCAGCAGGAGGTGGGTGAATGTATTAAAACAGCACCTATTGCTTGAAATCTCACAGATCCCAGACTGGAAACAGAAAGCCTACACAAGAAGGAGGATGGGCACTTATCTCTTGCCTGCAACCTGCTGCTGATATGGGGAGCACTGCTGGCCCTGCCTTCAGCCAAGGCAGTTAGCAGAGCACCATGGCTTTGTATCATTTCCAGCAGTCTCTCCTGTACATTTTGGGATGTACCTGGAAGGGCATGAACAGCTGCTTGGGGAGCTGGTAATTCACTTCCCTCAAGCCACCTGTGATGAACATTTCCTCTTGTCCGGTGCAGGAGCAGCTGGAGACCCTGGACTGCCAGGACCAAAAGGTAAACAATGCAGAGCTGAATTTATGATGTGTGTTTAGTTCAGCTTCCACCCTGAGTCACTCTGGAAAAACACCAGGTGGGAGCAGCTATAGAAAAATAAAGGCACCCTGAAGGGCTGTGGGCAGGGCTGTCTGACAACAGCCACCCCACACTGCAGGGGCTGGGCTGCAGGGGCTCACTGCTGTGTCTTGCTGCTGCCCCAGGCAATGTGAGCAGCTCCTCTCCAAACCTGTCACCAACAAGAGCTGCCCACAGCATGGGAGCCTGCTCTCTAGTTCGCTCCAGCTGTCACAGCTGCTCCCAGAGCGCCTCCTAAAGCCCTTCCCAGCAGTAACTTTTCCCCTGTTGGAGCTTTTGACCCTGCTTCCCTCCTTGGGTGTGTTCCAATTCCTTCCCACTCCCACCTGTTCTTGTTCCATGTGTCCCATCACAGTGGGAGTCTGTGGCACAAAGTGTTGCACCCCACTCAGTGGGCAGGCAGAGCATACAGGTCCAATAGAGACGTGTTATGTCAGCCTTGCCTTATGGACCTCCTGGCCCCTAACCAGCTGGTGGAGGAAAAAATCTCATTAGGGGTCCAACAGCCCCAGGACAATGAGGCTCCATGTCCCCGGGTCCAACTGGAGGCTGAAGGTTCACTCCCAGTAGGCATACATATACTTAAAATAAATATAGATAATTTACAAGGGCTTCTCTGAAAGCATTGCCTCCTGTTTTATGATGTTGGCCCACAGCACCAGAAACAGACATTGGTGGGATGGCAGCAGAGGCCAAAGCTTCCCACCGATATCCTGTTGTGTTGCTGCTGTGTGACAGATGGCAGCAGAGAAGCAGTGTGACAGAATGGTGCATGACATGGGAGTGTGTATGGAGCAGAGGGGTGTCATTAAATTCTTCTATGCAGAAAAAATATCAATGGGTGCCATTCACTGCTGCTTGTGAACATTGATGGAGACCAACCAGTGGGGAGCACAGTGAGGGGTGGGTGGTGCGTTTCAGCAGTGGCAATGGCTACAGTGGGTCACCTCTGCTGGTGCAGGTTTATACAAACACAGCATACAGGTTATTCATCACTGGTGAAGAAGCAGAGCTAATGGTGGTGACTATGCTGAAAATCTGTCTTTTGTAGCTGATAATTTGTTCTATCAAACAGTGTTACTGTGCTCACTGTATCTGTTGTAGATTCCAAGGAAATAAATAGGAGGCATTACTCTCAGAGGAACTTACATACACGTAGTACATACATATACAATTATATACACAAATACACATATATACATGTCCATCTTCACAGACACTCGGAGCACTCAGATTAGCACAGAAAGCACCAAGAGCTGAGCAGGACAGCAGCCCACTAAAGAGAATGTTTCTATTCACATTTTTTGACTCTCACTCATGCTGCCAGTAGCTGCCCTGGCTGCTGGCACCTGGGCAGCTCTCCTCCAGGTGCTGTGTTCTTCCCATACAGACACAGACACACAGAACAGACAGCTCTCACCCGGGACAGTGTTAGAAAGATGACAGGACAGTGGTTACCAGCACAGGCATGGCCACACAAGTACAGATCAGCTATCTATCTTCTCCCTGCCAGCCATTTGTATCCCCCTACTCCTTCCTTTCCAAATCACTTAAATCCATCCTTTTTTTGCAACTTTGGATCCTGCCCTCAACATCCCACAGTAAGTTCTGTGCAGTCTCAAAATCCTCTTCCTCTGCATCCAGCACCATGCTGCATCCCTGCACAGCTGTGCAATGGGGTGAGCGGGGGCCGGTGCTGGTGGTGCTGGGTGTCATGGCTGGATGTGGGGCTCAGGATTTGACTTGAAAAGCAAACAGCATTGTTGTGGGAGGAGGAAGGACCAGATGAGTAAGGCAGAGAGAAATTCATGGTGTTGTTTGCCCAACAGAAGCAAAAGGAGAGCCAGGATTTCCAGAACCTTTGGGTGAGTTTCATCCTGGGCCTTTTGTGTCACCATCAGCACTGTGGAACAGCACAGTGATGACAGCAAGAAGGCAGAAGCCCTGCACCAGAGGTCAGGACAAGGCAGCAGCAGTAACCAATTTGTAGTGACACCAAAAGGCAGAGTAAGAAAATAGCAGTTAGCTTCTCGCAGCCACGTGCAGCTTCTGTGTGGCTCCTTGTAATTCCTCGAGGCTGGTGTAGGTAAGAACAACTACATCTGGTAAGCGCATCGCTCAGACCCTCCAAAGCCTCCTTGCAGATGAGAGGGATGAGCACATCTATCTTTTAGAAAGTGCCCATCACCCTGTGACGTAGCAGCTCAAAGAGCAGCGGGATTTGTCTCGTGTAGGTGTACACCCGTGAGGCTGAAAGCTCTGGGCATGGGACTGCGGTGCTCTCTGTTGCAGTGAGCACACTGTAACTCCTTCCACTTCCACTCTTTCCCTGCTCTGCTCAAAAGCCAGGAACTGCCAAGAGCTGCTGGATAAAGGGAAGATCCTGAGCGGATGGTACACCATCCACCCCCAAGGCCGCAATGCTAGCACTGTCTTCTGTGATAAGGGCACGGATGGTGGAGGATGGATTGTGAGCAGGATGGAGAGAGGGAAACTTTTATTTCCCTACTCTGTTTTTTATTGATACTCCAAATAGCACTAAAATAGCAGTAAAAAGGGAGGAAGGCATTAAAGAGAGGGCAAACACACCATGAAGCCAGGTGGAGAGGGCAGCTGAAGTTCCTGTGACCAAGCCTGTGTGAATGCAGGGGATTCTTTGGGGAAACGTCTCTGGGAGCAGGCTGAGCACCCCAAACCCACCCATTCCTGCTCAGCCAGCAAACTCCTCATTTCCAAGCACAGTTTAAGAGAATTTGCATGAGAAAGATCTCCAGTCTGGTTCAGCACTCCCAGCTGCCCTCTGGAGTGGTGTATGCAGTGGGACTTTGCTGAGGCCATGCCACCAGCAGGCAGGCAGGGGGGCTTCTTCTGGAGCAGAACGACTGGCAGGGATGGAATTCTCATTTCCCATAGGTTTTCCAGAGACGCTTGGATGGGTCAGTGAATTTTTTGTGAGATTGGAATTCATACAAACGAGGATTTGGCAACCAGCTGACAGAGTTCTGGCTGGGGAATGACAACCTCCACTTCCTCACCTCTCTGGGTAAGGACTGCCTGCTCTCTGGACTGGGGCAGAATGCAATTGCTGCACAGCACTGCCATTAACAGACTTGAGCATCCCACATTCCTCCTGGGCCCCAAAGGTAATCCTAACCAGCACGCAGGCTCCTGCAACCCAGTGCACACAGAGATATTCACTCTAAAAAGAGGAGAAGTCAGAGAATTGAATGAGCTGCCTGCATGACTTATCCTGGAGATAACACATCTCCCTACTGTGACTGTGAGGACAGTCATGTTGCCCACAGACAGCCTTGGATTCGCAGTGATGTACAGGACAGGCAGTTCTGCTGGAATTTGAAGTCTATCTACAGTCTCTCTGGCAGTGGCAGCTCCTCTCAAGTCAGCTGAGGGCTCCTTTATCCCTCGCTTCTGAATCCCAGTTGAATGCTCACCACCAGCCCCACAGAACCACTGTCCTCCTTCTCTTTTAGGAGCCTGTGAACTCCACATTGACCTGAAAGACTTTGCAACAACTACTATTTTGCCAAGTATGCTTCCTTCCGACTTTGAGGAGAGTCTCAGAAATACAAACTGGTTCTGGGAGACTTCCTTGGCGCGAACGCTGGTAAATGAGCAACTTACTGGGAAGAACTTTCCCAAAGCATTTCAGAAACATTCAGCATTTACAGCCTAGAGCAGTGTCACATAGAGTCCTTGCACAACCTACATTTTGGGTCAGTATTTAAAAACTGCCTATGGTGACCCAGGTGCAGTGACTTCTGGGTGCAGGGAAGGAAAGGGATATCCACTCCCTGCAGATGTGTGACCCAGAGCGCTACCTACAAGCCCTGCCACATACTTTAGCAACAAATGCAGAATCAGGTTACCAGGAATTCCTGGTATGTTGGGGTTGTGTCATTGTTTCATCTTAAAAAACATACAAATCCTCTGCAGAATTCAGTATCCTTCATGTGGGAATGAGTGAAACCAACAAGTGAGATAGCAGTGCTCTGGGTTTATGAGGCTTTGTACACTGTCTGCTGGTCCAGACCTCAGTAAATGCAGAGAATGCAAGTGGTGCAAAAGAATGGACACCTGTGTGACTGCAGGCAGAATCTGGCCCATGTGCTGCACAGCCATAGGTGGGTTTGCCGCATGTGTTAGCAGTCCTAGCAGAACTCAGGATACCGCTCCTTTTCTGGGTGACCAAGGAGACTATGCAGGCAACCAAGAGAATGGGATTCATACAAACTGCCTTACATCCAGCCAGGCCACTGCTGCCCTGCAGTTGGTGCTCGGGAACATGAGGTTTCCTTTTGCACTACTGCAGTAACTGTGAGTGTGTACTCCCTGCAGGAGACTCCTTATCATACCACAAGGATGTGTCATTTTCAACAGCAGACCAGGACAATGACATGAGCTCCTTCAACTGTGCCTACAAGGGAGCGTGGTGGTACAATGACTGCCACTACTCTAATCTCAATGGCATGTATTGGCTGGGTGCACATGGGAGCTATGCTGATGGCATCAACTGGAAGATGGGTAAAGAATACCATTACTCCCATAAATGAACAGAAATGAAATTCAGGCCAATTTAATAGCACAGGAGGATGTCTGACTGGCACTGACAGGTGCCACTCAACAGCCAACAGAAGACAGAAAACATCACATTGTTTGAGGGCAAGATCAGACCAAGAAGGACGTTGTGTCTTTGGCCTAGAGCAGCTGTAGCCTTTAGAGATCAGAAGAGAAGAGTACTGCTTTGAGCTTCTGTGAGCCCTGACTTTAATCCTGCTCTATCTCCAGCAGCCCTACCGATGCTGAGTAAGCTTTTCTGAAAAGTGCATTACTTTGATGTAAAGACTTGATGTAAAGACTACCTTGGTGGTAAGGCTACTGTTTTTCAGTAAAACTCTCAGATGGTATTACCCTACATAGCACATACTGGTATTTTTGTCTCTAATCTACATACACAAAACCTTCAGTATTTGTGCACCCTTTTTTCCTGTTGGATCCAAGAGCTATCTGAAGGGCACTGAATTCTCTTCCCCATTACCCAACAAATCCCACAACAAACTGGAAAGGCCCAGAGCCAGCTCCAGCCATTCCAGTGTTTTCAGGATCTCACTCTTTTGCCACTGTGGACAAAGAGCTGGAAAAAGAAGTCTGTCCAGCAGCATGTGGTACTAGGACACTACAGCAGACCCAAGTCAAGCAGAAGGAGACACCATGTAAACAAATTGCTAAGTGCATTACAGTGACACATCAAACAGTGGAAATAGTGTATTTTTTTGTGTGAGTTCTGCAGGATCCCATATTTATCACACTTAGTGCACAAATGTGTAGCAAGCTGACCCCCAAGGTCAACTGTGCTGGGGCTGTCCCTTCTCAGCTCCTCGTGCCCACACCACCACCAGTGCTGGGTGAGGTGGGTGGCACCTGGCTGGAAAATGACGCATCCCTCAGCCAGCGCAGTGAGTTGGCACTGCAGCCTCTCCTGCAAGGCAGGAAAGCACTCCCTGTGGTGATACAGCTGTGTGAAGGAGAGGGTCCTCAGGGCTTGATGGCCCTCCCCAGGTCCCATAACTACAGCAGCCATGGAGAGGGCTTGCACAGACTCCAACCAGGAAGAACTGAAGTACTAGGTCAGGATCTATCCCCCTGGGGAGACATCCATCATGTCCCATATACACTAGTCCACATGGATTTCCTCTGTAGTTATTCAGAACTTAGTGAAATTGATGCAATCTGGGGTACAGTACTCTAAAGAAGCCACATAGCAAAGGTCCTGCTGCTTGGAGTTGCAGGGAGACATGGTGAGGATAAGGAAGCAGACCCCAAGCACGCAGGGCACTGCTGTAACTGGAGACTGAGGAAGAGCACTTCCTCCATGCGGCCTCCAAGGTCTGGTGACAGTCACAGTGCCCAACCCAGAGATCCCACTTCTCCAAGAGTGGTTCTCGCACCTCCATCAGCTCCTACACCTGACAGTGTAGGAAGGTGCAGGGAGGAGTTTTGAGATGTTGTAAAGGACATGCCCTAAAGGAACATACCCCCAAACTGTCAGCATGCCATCTAGTCCCTCTTGCTAGGTCTCTCCAGAAGAAAAGCAGAACAGCCCCAGTCAAGTGTCTGACTGATCCCAGTGGTCACTGCTCACCTCAGCTTTTCTGTGTCCCAGAAAGCTCAAGAATTAGGTTTGCCTTTTGTGCTTGCTCTTCAGCAGGTCTGGAAAGGAGTGACCCCTGAAGACCAGGAATAACAACATCCCTGAGTTCCTCCTGTTGTTCCCCCTGGTAAATCACGATGGGCAAGGACAGGGGATGAGGTGAGAACCTGCTTTCTCCCTTCACTCCAGGGCAGGGAGCCAGGAGGTGAACAGCTGGAAGCAGTTCTGATAGCTGGCTGGTGCACAACCTGCCAAAAGGGGAAGCAGCCCTGTGGCCAGTGAGAGACACTTTCAGAGACACTCCTGTGCAGTGTCTGGGACAGCCCAACACCCATGGGATTGCTGCCAGCACCGAGAGGCTCTGCAGCAGTTCTTTGCAGGGAGGAACATGGCAGTTCTTCCACATGCCCAAGATTTCACAGGCAGAATTGAAAGACTTTAAGGGATGGAGCTTTGGAAGGAGCGAAACCTAACACCAACCTAACACCAACAACTGCTCACATGAGAATGTAATAAAACAGCTTCAGCACCTCCATACAATTTGCATTTGGATGCACTGGATGTGGTGGTCAAAATGAAAACATCTCCCTCTGATTTTTTGAGCTGTCCTTGTAAGGCAGCTGCATTGAAAAATAATCAGTGCCATTTATAGTCAGCACAAAACAAACTGCATCAAGGGAAGAGAAGTTATTTCACTGTGCTTTGGTCCCTTCAGCTCATCATAGGCTGCTAGGATGGAAAAAGTGAACCCACTGCCCTTTGAATTGTGCTTGTGCTGCTGCTGTGCCCCTAGTTGAAGCAACAGATGCTGTAAGGAGCCCCACGCCACGGGCACCGAGTGGCACCACAGGCAAAGCACCACTTTCTCACAGCTAACAGTGCTCTGTCTTCACCAAGGTTTTATCCTACCAGCTGTGCTGACAGAGCATGAAGATGTTCACTGTGTTTGGTGCTGTGTTTCAGCAGCAGCACTCTGCACAGGAGGAAATGGCCATGGAACCAGGCAGCAACAGCAGCACATGTCCTTCTAGCAAAGATCTCCTTTGTCACCTGAGACTCAGCATGGGGCTAGATGTCTCTTCCATGGGAGCGGATGGGGCAGACAGAAAGCCCAGCAGAAATACAGCACTTCACCTTCCCATGGCTGCCCTCAGGATGCTGCCAAGCAGATGCAGCCTCACAGCCATACAGGTGCCAGCAGACAGAAAGTGCTCTGAGCTGCATAACCCAGCTCAGCTGTGTCCAACCGCTGCCCTCTGCCTCCAGGACAGCCTGCAGACCCCAATGGCCCATGAGGGATGGTTCCCAGCTCACAATGACCCTCACACCATGTCCAAGAACTGGGGACAGTGCTGGTGGTCTGGGGCAAGCCCACAGCAGAGGGACCAACTGCTGCAGTGCTGGTGGTGGCTGGCTGTCCCTGAAGACACAAGGGTATATCAGTGCTGTTTCCACTGCCTTTGCAGTCCATTTCATGCCACTGGTCAAATAAAAAAGTGGGAACTCTACCTTCCACCAGGTTGAAAAGCTTCCATCCTTTTTGGTCTCCTGCTTCCCGAGGCTTCACTCCTCCTACTGGCAGAACTCCCCAGCAGGAAGCTGTTTGCTGGTGTGTGTTGGTGCCAAGCAGGTTTCCTGTGCACAGCTGTCACAGCCCAGAGAAGCACAACAGTAGCTCCAGGATGGAGGATTCTCTGGATACATGGCTGAGCCAATGATCCTGGTGCCATTCAGTGCCTTTCATGTCACTTATCATGAGGTATCTCTGCTGAAAACACTGCAATCCACCACAACATCCATCTCGGCACGCTACTGCTGCTCCTTTGTGTGGGTGCCAAGGCACAGAGACACTGGGCCACATGTGACACCAAATTCTGCCCAAGACCTCGAGATCAGGTCTACATGTAGGTCTGCAATGCTATTTGCACACCTCATTATTTATTACAAATTACAAATACTTTTTGGTGTACGAAGGGCCCCTACTCCAAGAGCTTACAGTGTACAAAAGAGACACAGCTCCACTGCCACACAGCCATCACACCTACTGACAACCACAGATATTTCGGTCCTAAGTAGAACACGTCCCTCCCAATGAGGCCTGGCAACCAGCTGAACTGGAGACAGGTACCTGTGGAAGGATAAGAGGTGCACCTCTCCCACCTCCATACCCTGACAGAGGGCTGTGGGGAGAAATCCAGATAGCCGCAGCACTGGGACAGAGCACAGGACCAGTTCTGAGAGGAGATACTGACTGGTTGGCTCACACCTCAGTGAGGCACACCTTCCACACTGCTCCCCAAAACCTCACTGAATGTTGGTGTGCCCCATGCACATGTCAGAGGATCCCACCAGTATCCCCACTACACAATGCAGCCATCCCTGTGAGGCCACTCAAGGAGGGTTTTAAGGCTTTGAAGCGTACGGCAACTTTGAGGCTCTCTGTGTGCCTCAAAGCCCCCAGCTTTTCTCCAAAGGGATTCCAGCCCCCACAGAGGTTCCCCAAGCACAGAGAGGACGTGGAAGGAGAAGGCCATGAACCCAGGGAGCACAGGGAAGCCAGAGAGGGCTGCATTTCTGTAGAGGATTTGGAAAGCATTCTCAAAGGCAATCAAGGTCCCTGACCTGCCTTCCAGGATCATTTACTTTTAACAAGCAAACAAACAAAGGCTGTTTGCTGTCTGAATTACATCTGTTAAAAACCTCAGGTAAGACCTTGGTTAAGTCTCCTCTCCATTTTTCAATCTCAGAAATTAGAGACTGAGACTATAATTAAATAAATACCAGTGGGTCACTTAGTTCTTCCGTTATCCACCTTCTTTCTTCATTTCTGACCCTCCATTTAAAGTCCATCCATAAGGCTTTGCAGGGAGCCCACAGCTCAGCTTGAAAGTGGATTGTCCCTCCTGGGCTCCAGGCTTTCTGCAACGTCTTCCAACTCATCCAGGATATCAGAGAAATATGGTCTCTTGAATGCTTCCACCTGGAATAAGAAGGGAGAACTGAAGAGGACATCTTGGACAGGTGGGTACAGTGCAGCAGCTCTCCCTGGTCCCCCACAGCCAAACAGCACTCACCCACTGCCAGAACTGCCCAGGCTGTGCACCTGCACACAGAGCTTTCCGGCATCACACGCTGAAAGCTGGCCTGACACCTCCTGACATCAGTGGAGTGTGAAAATTGCTCAGCCCAAAGGCAGCCTGATCAGAGCAGGATCAGGGGAAAAGCTAGAGGGGACGGGGAGTTGTCTCCTCCCCAGTGCTCCCAGTGCCACTGGGGTGTTCCCAAAGCTGGGGTTCATGCCTTTTCCTTTTGAAGGACAGTGAGATCCAAATCTACAAGCACTCCTTACAAGAGAAAACCCAGCAACATGGTGGGGGCACCCTTTAGTCCAGGTCACCTCACTGTGCCACCCTAAGGCTGCCCAGCCCTGGCAGAGCCACTCCAGCCCCTGCACCAACCTGGGCACAGAGCAGTCCCAGCAACACTTTAGCAGAGCTGTCACTGCTTTAGGGGACATCTGTCAGAGGTAGAACACCCCCACACAGATCACAGCCAGTTGCTGCATCACTTGTGCTCTGACTCAGGCTGAGTTTCTCACAAGGAACAGGCAGGACTCACCTGACAGCAACAAGCAGCAAGGTCCAGCACCCGCCGGGGGCATCCGCTGACCATCCTGCAGAAGGCAGCCACATCCAGGCCGTAGTCCTGAGGCAAAGAGAGGGCGTGGGGCAGCAGCCAGCCTGACAGGAGGGATGGGGCCTCTCCAGGAGAAGGGGGAAAACAGGCTCCTCTCCTGCTCAATGTGTGTCCCACCTACCCCTCACTTATGGGGATGAGCCTCGTCTGAGTTTTACACTCCTCTAAGCTGGAACGCCATTCTTCCACTTCCCAGCCACAAGGATAAAAGACGGGGGGAGTATCTGGATGATCTTTTAGTTCCTCTGCCACCTAAGCCATTCTATGACTCTACATTCACAGACTGAAGCTTTTAGGGTCTCCATCATAGCTGTCTTCCTGATGGCACAAGGGCAAAGGCACCATCAGCTCTGCCAGGAGGGCACAGGTCATCACTAACAGAACAGGGAGATGTAGCAACACCCTTCTGCTTGCTCTGTGCTCTCCTGCAGAGCAATGTACCCTTCAGGAAGAGCTCTGCAACAACAAAGCAGAACCAACATGTGGAGGACCATCCAGGCTTCCAACAGCTGCTGAGAACCACCGGATTCACCAGCTGTTCCCATAGCATCATGGAGCCTTTCCTCTGCATGGAAAGCAGCAATCTGCTCTTTTCTCGCTGAATTTTTAACTCTTGTTGTGGAAAACACTGCCCTTTCTCACTTTGCAGGAGGGAATTGTTGTAAATATTGAAATAAAAAGGCCACATTTCTAGAGAAGCCATCTGTTTCCACATAACCTGTGAATTAGCCTCAGTGAATCTGAAAATATTCTAGGGCTGCTCTGAAAGTACTGCTTCATGTTTTATGATGTTGGCCCACAGCACCAGAAACAGACGCTGGTGGGATGGCAGCCGAGGCCAAAGCTTCCCACCAATATCCTGCCGTGTTGTTGCTGTGTGACAGATGGCAGCAGAGGGGCAGTGTGACAGAATGGTGCATGACATGGGAGTGTGTATGGAGCAAACGTGGAACTGAATTCCTCCATGCAGAAAAAATGCCAGTGAGTGCCATTCATTGATGCTTGTGAACACTGATGGAGACCAAAGAGTGGATGTGAGCACAGTGAGGGGTGGGTTCATTTCAGCAGTGGTGACAGTGACAGTGGTCACCTCTGCTGGTGTGGGTTTGTACAGCACAGTATGCATGTCTTGCTCATCACTGGCAAAAATGAAGAGCTAACAGTGCTGCTACGTTGAAAAATAGTGTTTTGTAGCTGAGAATTTGTTCTATCAAACAGTGTTACTATGTTCACTGTATCTGTTTAAATTTCCATGAAACAAATAGGAGGCATTACTTTCAGATCAACCTACATACTCCTGTGATGGTGGTTGTGGTTCATCTGCCGCTTCAATGTAGATGTTGAAATGCCAATGCCAAACAGAGCATTTGGAATTAAGACCTCTAAACAAAAAGAGTCGCTTCTCTTTTTGATGGTGCAACCAAAATTTTGATAAACAGATGATTCCATTTGTGTACTGAAAATTTTATCATCAGATTTTCTCACAAAACTCTGGAATGACACCTCAGTGTGCACACATGTATGCGTGCAAGTTTGGATGGCTCAGAGAGAAGCTGCAGTCCAGAATCATGGAGAAAATACTGTTAAATTTGGCTGCCGGAATTATTACCTGAGTTCTGGGAAGTACTTCGGGATCCGCTGGGATCCTGCCCAGGATTTCACAGAGCACAATGCCAAAGGAAAACACATCCACCTGCAAAAAGGGTGGGAGAGGTGAGCTCAGGCCTGCATAGAAGGCAAATTACAGGAAAAAGCAGCACCAACAGCAGCAGGTTCCTCCATTAGGGGACGCCTGCCGTCTCATGCAGGAGCTCTGCTGATGAGCCATGAGCTGGAAGTGTGCCGTACCTTCCTGTCATAGGGCTCTCCCCGCAACATCTCAGGAGCCATCCAGAAGGCAGAGCCCACCAGGGACAGCTTCCTCTCTGCATACTGCACGGGCAGCTCCACCACTTCTCTGGCCAGCCCAAAGTCTGCCACCAGCGCCTCGCGGCCACGTGGTGTCACTCGGATGAGACAGTTCTGAAAGGAGACCAGGGGGACGTGGCATGGGATGTGGCAAGGAAGGGACCAGCTGTTACAGAGCTCTGCTGCCCTGACAGGCTGCAACCTGAGCATGCAGCACAGGCCAGGGCTGGGCTGATCACATCTGAAGCCAGAAGTAGTGGGAAGGAGCTGTTCCTCAGCCCACCTCCACCAGTTTACTGCCCACCCTGTGCTCTCACAGTGCAGCCTGCCTAGCACCTCACAGCCCTCAGCGCTGCCCCATCCTGACACATATGCACTGCGATTCCCAAAGGCATTCAATATGGATACGGTGATCCACATCCTTTCATCTAAAGAAGACCTAGAAACGTGCACATCAGCTTTGCTCAGTCAGCCCAAGGCAGGCAAATCACAGCCACGGCCCTACTCACTGTGCAGAGCTATAACATCCCTAATAATGGCTTCTGAAGGAATTTCTACAAAATTATTTTGAGGTTTCTCAAAAACCCGAGTGACTTTAACCTATTCAGATCTCTGGATTTTACTTATTGGCACCTGCTCCCAGGGAGCCACCAGAAACTGCAAACAGAAAATGGCTCCAATTGGAAGGGCCCTCACAGCCCCAAGCCCCAGTTCTGCCATGGGCTGGCAGCCCCCCAGCTCAGTTTGCCCATGGCCTTGGGTACCTCCACAGTTCTGGGCAGCAGTGCCAGGGCCTCACCACCCCCTGTGTAAAGGATTTCCCCCACATCTAAGCTAAATCTTGCCTCTTTTAGCTTAAAGCTGTTCACCCTTGTCCTATCACTATCTGCCTGTGTGAAAAGCCCAGATGGCTCCAGTTCTCACTAACAGCCAGACACCAGGTAAAGGCTCCCATCTCTTCAGCCACTCTCCCAGCAGGTTTCCCAGATTTCCCCAGAGAAGCACAAACTTCTTCCAGGGCTGCACTTCCGCAGTGAGACTGAAAGGTGAGGTGCAGCCTGCTAGCACTCCTTGCCTTCCACAAGCAGGAGCAGAGGACCCAAGCCTGAGGTCTCCAGGTCACTGCCCTACATAGTCTCTGCAGGGTCCCCTAACGCAGCTCCCCTCCAGCTGTGTACCTTGGAGTTGAGATCTCGGTGGTAGATGTTCTTGGAGTGCAGGTAGATCATGCCCCTGGTGATGTCAGAGGCTAAGTCCACTTTCTCCTTCCATGACAAAGTGATGTCTTTGCTGGCCAGGAGCTCCTCCAGGCAGCCTCCATTCACATACTGTGAAGAGACAAAAGGCGGCACCTGTGCAGCTGGATGCAGGGTCTCCTGGAGCCCCCCAGATGTAGGAACAAAATAAGGCCTCCCAGTGCCAGCCCAGGCTTTCCCATTCAGCCACAACACTGTGTCAGAGCTACCTCAAAAGTACTGCCAGGCTGCATCCCAATACACCCACTCTTCAAATCCTGCTCCTCTACTCCCCCATGCTGGCCTGTCCTGGTCCTCTGGTGGTACTAGGCCACCACAAAACCCCTCATGGCCACTCTGCCTGAACCTCACAGTGCCTGTGCCCAGCTCCAGCCAGGAGAGGCTGTGGGGCAGAGCAGACCAGAAGCATCCCCAAGGCAGTCTGCTCATCCAGAGTCACTCACAGCTCCTTGCCTGCCCAAAGCACAGTTAAAGGCAATAAACTTTTACCTCCAGAATGGGGTACAGCTTGTCATCCTTTACGCATATCCCAAGATACCTAAGCAGAAGGATGCACCAAAACAAAGAAAGCAAGTGTCATGGTTTTGGTTTTTGCTTATTTGATTTTCAATATTCCACATCAAAACATCATGTACTGGAA